AWTTYYTTWAAWTTWWTTTTTTATTATAATTTAATTTAAGTTTAATAATGAAATAATTTATTTTTGGTTTAATAATATAATATTTYATAAAKATAATAATTAAATATTATGTTAGAACTTAAATGATTATCCTAATTAAATATTATATTTTAGATTTTTTATATTTTAAATGAGATGTCTGTATTTGATTATGTTTATCTGCAGTTAGTTATACGAATTTAAAATTGAAGCTTTAATAAGTTGTAATTACGCACAATTTACTTGTAATCTTAAATTTTAAGTATTGTGCATTAATTAACAGTACTTCATGCATAAAGAATGGTTTTTAAGAGTTTTTATCAAATGTTTTATAATATAGTATATATATGATAGTTTCACGTGTACTTGTTTTACGTGAACCTTTTTTACATCTACTTTTTTTCACTAAGTGAACAAAAAAAATCGGCATGTAATTTTTTCACAAGGTGATACAAACAATGTGAAATAATACTCTAAATCATAGCTTTCTGATAAATAAAAAATCATGCAGTCTAATATTTTTATATCAGTTCCCACAAATGTTTTTTATGGTTTTATCATTATATATAATATATATATACACAAACATGTATAAGACTGTAAACGAACCGAACGTTCAGTGAATCGTTTGGGTGGAAATTCGTTTATGTTCGTTTATTTAATAAATGAACGAACATGAATAAAAAAATTTGTTTGTTTGTTTAAACAAGTGAACATGAACAAGAGTATTATTCGTTCATTATATTTGTGAACATTCGTTCATTTATGATCGTTTATATATTAAATCTATTATATGATCTTTTATTTATTTAGATTGAATTTAAATAATATTTATTTAAGCTTTAACTTTTTAGAATTTATTTAGACTTAAATTTTATTTATTTGAAACTTTTACCTTTTCATTTCCCCCCCAAAACCTAGGCTCCAGATGAAACTTTCTGTTAAACTTCCATGAGGTGACAAATGATAATGGTGGATTGTTTCTTTTGTTCAAAAGATGATGGTTGGTGAATGATGATTGTTTTGTGTATGTTTAAACTATGGATAATTGGTGTGTAATAGTTAATTAAATGACAAGTAATGATGCTCGTTTGCATATGTTCATTTAGGTTTGTTCGTTTAACATGTTAACGAATGAACGAACATAAATGAACACGAACACACTTGATTTCTAAATGAACGGACACGAACACAAAGATTTTCATTCGTTTACCGTTCGGGTTCGTTCGCTTGTTCTATTAGGTTAAACAAACAAACATGAACAAACCTCTATTCGTGTCCGTTCGGTTCGATTACAGCACTATACACACACACACACACACACACACATATATATATATATGCACACACACACATACATATATATAGATAGAGGACTAGAGGTTCAAACAAGAACAATACATTTTACGAGAGTTTGTATAGTTAACATAAACGAATTGATTAACAAATGATCATACTCTATGTGTGTATATGTATATATATATATATATATATATATATATATATCATATATGATAACAAGCATGGTATACAAACTTAAGGATGCGTTTGGTATGCAGACTACATGGGACATGACAGAACAAAAAAAATAGCCCCATGTTTGGCATACCATGGACAAAAAAAACGAGACAAGGTAAAAACTATTTTTATTTTTCATGGAACAAATCTTGATATTTCTTAGACAGAACAACATGATACTAAAGTTAAAATACAATATTACCCTTGTTATTTCATTCCAAGAGAAAACCTAATTCATCCCATTTGTGACAAGCCCTTGCGAGTGTAAAAGTTCTCTTTTATACACCTTCCCGTGGCTCCTCTCCTCAACGACATTTTCATGACTATAGTTATCGATGGCCTCTTTTATATCATAAAAAGGAATTATGTAGTCATCCAATTCTTGGAAGAGCAACATGAAGTTTCAATTTATGAGATAAGTTTGGGAGAGAAAAAAAAAAGATTAATTGCAAGTACAATCTAAAAGAATAAATCGTAGTTGCAAATGACGAAAGTGAAAGGTGGGTTGAATAACAGATCAAAATAAGTAATATTTACGTGCAATTGCCGGGGTTGGTTAGTCGACACCTTTTGTCATTTTTTTTGGACATATATTATTACAAAAACTATGTAATTAAAATACATTTTGGTTGATTTGTTGTCAATTTACAACTATTATATGATATAAAATAATATTGAACAACATTTAGAAGCAACATAGTCATTTTAATAGTTTTATCATGTCTTGTTCTAGTCTTACCCAACATAAGACGGACAATAAATTTTGTCGCGTCCCGTCTTGTCTCATCCAATTTGTATACCAAACCCAACCTAAAGGTTGTTTACCAATTTTTTTTATCAAGTGTTGTATTAATAAATTTGTCTGTCCAGATAAACGAAAGTAGCTTTATATTGGTTCGAATCCAATTCGTGAGATGGCCATCTTGGTCATATAGATGTCTTTTATCTAAACCGACAATCTGAGTAACATAAATGACCGCTATACCACCGAATATTAAATATTTGAACATAAAAAAAACTCATAAAAAGGCCAAAGATAGGGTGTCTTATTGAAGGATGCAATGCTTTAAACAAGGGGTATGAATGTCATTTTTATGGCTAAAAAGGGACAAGACACCATTTCTATCTATACAATCAAGCCATGTTTTATGCAAATAAGTCGTAAGTAAACAACCCAAATAAGTTATAAAAATAAATCAAATAGACCAATAAACCTAATTAAACTACAAATAAACAGCCCCTTAATCATAATTGAGTAAACATATGCTTGTATTGAAAACACATAAATTTTCTCGAAAACGTTGTAATTAGGTAAAAGAATTTGCAAGTCTCTAGTCTACCTCAAAGGTGACCCCAATAAAACAAAAAATCTAGATCCGCCACTGGATACAGCATCTCCAAAATAACATTTTAGAAAACAAACACATAAAAAGAAATACCTTATGAGTCTACCCACTTGGAAACCATATATTTTCCCAGGTTTCTAATATTTTTCAATATATATATATATATATATATCATAAGTTAGTTTGCAATTTGGCAACTTCATATCCCTATCAAGAAGAACCAATATCTATCCAAAAGAGATGACATAATCAAAACAGACATCCTCCAGAAACCCTAATTGATGTTCATCCATTCCACATCACAATCAATAGGCTTGTTACCATTATACATCAAAAAAGATCAAAATAGGACCCATCAACACCATCACCAAGCCAGATTCATTAAAAGAAACCAACCCTATGATTCAAATCAAGATACAACAAGTACCATCATCCACAAACCCTGAATCAATTCTTTCCAAAAGAAACCCTAATCGATCCTTTTCAAAGAAACCCCAATCTTAATCAACAATCGAGAACATCAAGCACCAAAAACCCAGCAAAATTATCTTATAAAATAACTGAACATTTTTGCAAAATGGTTCAAGCATTGATTCATCAACACAGACAACAAGAAATTAAAAAAGTAAGCACAAAAGGGAAGGTAAACCGTAAATGTCAAAACACATCGGACCTTTACCTCCTCCACCAGATTCAGTTTCCGATCAACGGTTGCTGCCGGTAGGGCATTCACGAGCAAAATGTCCATCCTCCCCACAGTTGTAGCAGCCGCCGCCGCCGCCTCCACCACCGCGACCACCGCCATAGCTACCTCCACCGCCTCCACGTCCACCGCCATATCCACCTCCACCGCCTCCACCTCCTTGGTAACAGTCCCTAGCCATATGTCCAGACTCGCCGCACTTGAAACAAGCGTTACCGCCACCTCCTCCGCCATATCCACCGCCTCCACGACCTCCACGTCCTCCTCCACTGTTATAACCACCACCTCCGTACCGATCTCCACCTCCGTATCGATCACCACCACCACCACCTCCGTATCGATCACCACCTCCACGTCCACCGCCGCCTCCGCCGCCGCCACGAGTACTCCCCTGAACCGGCCCCTCCTCCGGTCCAGTAACATCAACAGCCTTAGTCCTTCCATCAGATCCGTTCTCAATCACATACTCCACCGTCTCTCCATCTCCTAAACTCCGAAATCCTTCAGCCCTAATCGACGACTGATGAACAAACAGATCTTCGCCGCCATCATCGGGAGTAATGAAACCAAAACCCTTGGTATCATTAAACCACTTCACAGTCCCCGATTTCCTAGCACCTTCATCAGCCATTTTCCCTTTCGATCTCCAAAAAGAAGCAAAATCAAAACTAGAAATCGAAAAAAAGAACCCCCAAATCGATTGAGAGAGAGCGGAAACCCTAACCCTCTAAACCCTTTCCAACGATGGCCTTATTCCTGCCACCGCTATACCATATATATAAAGGGTTTTTGCGGAAAAGGGTAAATAGTGGAATATGAAAAGCCACGTCATTGTTGGTCAAAGAAACGGAGGATCGAATATTGACTCGCTTATGTGCATTTCCAATTGTACCCCTATCGGGAATTTCGTAGCGACTTCTGGTTGATCTCGAAGAGATCCAACGGCTGGGGTTACGCATCCCAATAGTCATCCAACCATTGGCTTAAATGTGCTAATAAATAAAGTTACATTTTTTGGGGGTAAATTTTGAAAAAATTTACTAAAAAATAAATAAATTGGATGATATTTTCATTTTAATTTGATTCCTATTTTGATAACGTATTTTTAAAATTTTTATTTTGGTATCTAATATATAAAGTTTTAAATATTTAAGTATTAGGATAATTGGTTGAAGTATTATTCGGTTATCATATTTATGTGATAAGTGATGTGATATCAGACTTATAATCAATTATTTATGTATTATATCATAATATTTCCAACAGATTCCTCGAAACCTTTTTCAAAATGAAGAAAATAGGAATAGAAATTCTTTAAAAATAATTACCAAAGAATTAGAAATTCTTTTTTATTCTACCTACCAATGAGAATCCTTGAAATTAAATGTAAATGAGAAAATTAATAATTTATTAATGGCAATGAATATTTTAATAATATAATTTATATTGTAATCTTCAAAATAAATAAATTATTGGAAATGAATATAAGTTTCCTTTTAAGATTTTAACTTTTGATTTTCTATTTTGGAGAATGTGTTGAGTATGTTCTATCTTTTAAGGGGTTGTTTGTTTACCTCTTAATAATTTCATTAAGAGACAACATCTGAATCGTTAAGAAATGCATCTTGTTTGGCAAAAAAAAAATTGTATCTTAATAGTTCTAAAACTCTTTAAATGATTTTGTCGCCTCCCGTAACCATTTAGTGCTCTAATCTCATTATGAACAATTATCAACAATTATATTTCATTTTGCACTATATCATGAGAGTCTTTTAATCATTCTGATCATTTAATCATTCTACATCAAATCATTCAGCAACTGCCAAACAACTTCTAAGATTCTCAAAAAATTAAGAAAATGGGGATTTGTGGAAATCTTTTACTACAAGAAATTCTTTAAAAGTTTTTCCAAAATTGAGAAAGTATAGAGATAAGGTCTGAATTTTTCCATATTTGAAGAAACTCTCGTAAAATGATTATAATGAGGAAAAATAATAATTTTTTTATTGTATTCTATCGATAAGAAATCTTGAAAATAAATATTTATCAAAGAGAAATGATATTTTATTAAAAGTTTTTAAATATTTTAATAATATAAAGAATGTTATAAATTCTAAAATTGAAAAGCAATTATTCTTGAATGTAATTATTTTTTAAGATTTTAAATTTTGATTCTTCATTTTGAAAAATCTATTGAAGATGCTCTTGTAAATCATTTTCAAAGGTATAAAAACAGCTATTTAATTGTTTAATACCGTTGATTAATGCATATTTAGACTATATTCTAAACATATCGGGAAAATCTTAAAAAGTAATTATCTATACTACTTTATAAAGCAGAAAGTCCCAAAGTCTTAAAAACACATTCACATGCATAAGGTACTATCCTTTAATGCAGAAAGTCTTAAAGTCTTAACTTTTTTAATACCCAAAATACCCTTACACTTCCTTTCATCCCTCTCCCACCCCCACCCCCAAGATTTCTTTACACGCCTCCCCTCCCCCAAGATGCGTCTTCCCTAGGAGCACTCTTCCCCTTATCGGTTCCCCTCCCCCAACAACTCAAAGCTTCAAATTATCAAGCACGCTTCCAATTCCAAGCACGCTTTCCATCATTCCCGATTCAAGCACGCTCATCATTCCCGATTCAAGCACGCTTATATTCAAGACCATATATCAATGTGATCCATCATTCCCGATCCCATATTGTTAGGTTTTTTCCATTCGATCCATCGCTATGGTAGAGCATCTTCCTTCACCTCTTCAAAATGTTCTTCATTAGGGTTTTTCTTGAATCGCCTTCATCTTCCTTCATCTCGATTACATTCAGGCGATTCCAAAATGTTCTTCGGGCGATTCAAGCTTCCATTACATGATTCAGGCAATTCAATCCTCTATTGGAATCGAGGTAATTAGTTTTTCATATCCCTTCTTACCCAATCCCCTTCATTCTCATGTTTATGTGTGCGGACTTTCTTCGGTTGCTAATTTTGGGATTTTAGATTTTAATTAAGCTCAAGTATTCGTGCATGTTGGGACCTGAAATTTCGAAACCCTAATTATATAGATTGATATGTTAGCTTATGTTTTGTTCGTTATTGGTGGTGTGTCTTTAGCACGCAAAGAAGAGAGAAGGGCACACAAAGAAATCAAGGCGCTCAGGATCGAGAATTGTACGAAGCTCAAGCAGAGATCAAGGCGCTCAGGCTATCTGAACGCCTAAGAGAAAAAACTGTTGAAGAGGTTATAAATTTGCTTATCATTTTGTATGCATTTTCTAATTGTATTGGACACAATGTGGAGTTTACCTGATATGCCAGACAATTTGAATGTAAATGCTTGCTGGCTTCAGCTTCTTGTGTCGATTTTACAGTGCCAATCCCCCCTTTATAAATTAGCTTGCATGATGTTAGCTTCTTTTTTCTTATATTCAATTCCTTATATTCATCATACACATAGTTGTCCGATGGATATAATGTACCTCTTCGACTGGTCCAGCTTCCAATTATCATTTTCTTTATGTGTTCTTGGGATGACACGTACACCTTTTAAACGTTACCATTTTAAACGCTACCATTTTAAACGCTATGTATAACGATTCTCTGAAATTTCAAGTTTTAACCGATAAAGCTTTTTGAAAACTAAATGATTGTTGACAGCTTGTTCTTGTGGGATGATTTGTTTTTAAACTTTTAGGTGTTATTTTATCTTTTAATGGATTAAACATCAAAGAACACATTTGTGGAGTCATTTAACTAAGTAGTGTATGTTATACCAAAATGAGTTGTGAAAGGAGTGTTAATTTGTTGAGTTATTGACTAAGATTCTCCATCTTTATCGTCGCTTTTGTCGACTTGAATTATGATTGGATTGGTTTAAATGTATTGGATTGTAAACTGTCATACAAATTTTTTCATTGGTAGAGTGTAATTTTAACCATAACTCTTATTTATTTAAATTGTATTAATATGTAAAGACTAAGCGTAAGTTATATCATCGTTAAAATTCACGGCTCCCGCCGCATTGCGCGGGTAAACTACTAGTTATATATCAAACATATTTGATCATTGTATATTACTTAAAATCCAAGAGTACATGTTAACGATGATGGTATAACTTTCTTAATTGAACTATATACCTAGCAGATAAATATGATCAAATACAGAATAAACACTTCATTTTCGTTTTTTAAATTAGAATAAAATATCTCTTTAATTTTTTTTGATTAACCTGGATATCCAACCCGCTATGCGAGCCGACTAATCACAAGGCGCCTATCTGCTTTGCAGATAGCCCGGAGTCATTGCATTTGAACCTCCGTAGCCACAAGGGGATTTTTGTTCCTTCTTGGATTTGAAACCGAGACCTTCTGGTACTTTTGACCTTTGGAGCCAAGCTCAAACTAATCAGGCACCACCCTTGTGGTTATATCTCTTTATTTTTAGATCTAAATATATAATATATAATCGACATTTTAATCAAACAATTTAAACCAAAATATGATCATTTTATTTCAATTTGATACTTCATAATGATATTTTTTTACCATGTTTATTTGTGGATAAATATATTTATATATATATATATATATATATATATATATATATATATATATACTTCGGATCATGTAAGACCAATGGTTTTTCGTGAGACCCGTAAGACCAATTCTCAACCCTTAGATTAGATTTACAATCGTCAGATCTGAACATTTATAAACGCCACGAGACTTCTCAATAATTACAAAATTGCCACTTTGCAAATTTAGACCATTAGATCATTAGTTTATAAATTTGATCAATGAACATAAATTGGTCTTACGGGTCTCACGAAAAACCTTTGGTCTCACATGAACCCAACTCTTATATATATATATATATATATATATGGTAAAGTCATATTTCTGTTATTATACATAAAGTACAATTTGTCGATGCATATTTTTTACAATGGAAAATTAACATAAATAGTTATTTTGATTGGATCAATTCATATTTTAGTCATTCATCTTTCAGTATATCAACTTAATCAATACATTTGCAGATAATACATCCTTAACTTATGGAGGGGCCAAAAATATAGAATTCCTTAATGGGTTTGCAAGTAACACTTCCGCAACTTGCAGATGTGCCAATTAACTGGCCCATGTCGATTATTGATATGAATATCCGCAATTAACCCCCACCTACCCGTATTGAATACAACAATTACTTGCGGTGGGTGGGGGTTAAAGTTTTTCCATATAAAAACAAGGTGGGGGAACCATATTCTCCACACCTTCGCAACTGAAAGAACACTCCGTAATCGTTAGAGCCTCCCACAATTGTGAAATCACTGTGCAAGTTTCAAGATTTCGAAACACCTCCTCACAATCGCTTAAATAAGTTTCCCCAATCACTTAAAAAAATTTAAATTCGTATTTGGCATGCTTTATTTAGAGATTATGACTTATTCTATCAACTGCATGTTAAATCATTGGAACTTGTGTTCATGGACAAAAAGATATCGATTGCATGTTAAACTTTAGGACTGTTTTCGTGTGGACAGAAAGATAACAAAAGTTTTGCGGATTGTTCTTGAACTTTCCATATCTTTCTGATATCCCGTAAGTTATAGTAATGGTCCCTACAATTAGAGTAATTTACATATTTGGTCCTCGTATTTGTATATTTTATGTATTTGAATATTTTTTTTTTGTATTTTGAGTGCGTTGTAAATATGGTCCCT